AGCCCCCACTTCCACAGAATGCGGAGCCTCTTTAGTACTTGATCTAAACATCTTCATTCTCTCCCTTCACCTCTCGTACCCACTCTTTCTCTTCTGCTTCCCTCCCGTCCTCATTACAGCAAGTACTTGGGAAATGCTCGGATCCATGTGCTCATTGCACACGTAGATTCAGATTGCACAGTTTACCAAGTCATCAAGGTACACACACAAGGATCCTACACTGCTAAACGGTGGTCATGATCAGAAGCGAGTATGAGCCCTTCAGTGGTTTTTGCTTTGAATTTAGAACAATCTTTACTATTACAAATTTAGTTATAAAGTAGCATCTTATATTCCTTCCTGCTTTAGATGATGCGTTATGCTATCAAGATCCTTGTGCAAACATCTAAAGTTCTCCTGTTACACCACTTATCCATTGTACTGTTACTATTGATCTCTTATCCAGGTGTGCCCAGCTCGTAGAAATGTCTTGAAGCTGGGTCTATGTTGGCACTCAATAAAAATATATGGAGTACTCAAGACACTTGAAAAAATATATATATATTGAGTGCTTCCATTAATGGATGAATGAATGAATGAATGAATGAATGAATGAACATGCTGTCATTGAGTCGACCCTGATTCAGGTGCACCCTATATGACAGAGTGGAGCTGATCCACAAGGGGGTTCTGAAACTGTCCTTCTTTATGGGACCAGACAAACTTGTCTTTCTCCCATGGAGCAACTGGTGTGTTGGAATGAGGAGCGCTGCAGTTAGCAGCCCAATCCTACTAAACCCACAGCACCGTCAGCACTCCTTGAATGAAGCAATGAATAGCAAGGGCGCAAGGGCACAGGGACATGCATGCGACCGTTTGTAGCCTTTCAGGAATTACACGTAGTTCAGCGGGGGTGGGGGTGGGGGGGTGTCTTGAGGAAGGGGTGAAGGGCAGTATGTAAGTCTGAGGATGGAAGCCTGTTTAAAAACCTGGATCAGTCATCCCATATGAAAAAAGAAGAGGGGGAAAAAGTTGGAAGTGTACCCCCTCTTCACTTACATACATAATTAGACTCCAAAGACCAGGTCTACATGCAAAAGCCAGCTATGTGGGGAGGGGAAGGAAAAGGAGGGGGTCTGGAGGTGGCCACGGAGACTGGAACCTTGTAACGGTTCTGCCCCAGCACCACTGTGCTCCAGACCCCAAGGCCTGGCCATTGGGCTGCAACGCCAGCAACCTGGGGCCTGGAGGCTGGGCTAGAGGCATAGTTGGCATCACTGGCGGGTGCCAGGGTCAAAAGGCTAGGCAGGGGTTGCCAACACGCCCACCTGCACATCCTATATAGCCACAGTTATTTGCTGCCCCCTGCAGGCCAGGGAGGATCCTAAGGAAACAAATCCTTTGCTCTGGGCCTTCTGGGGCTTAGAACTCGAGACTTAGAATTTGACCATAGTTACTGAAAAGAGGAGCCTGGGCCCTCAAAGAGATGGATTGGGATAGAGGCTGCAAAATGAGCTCAAAGTTAAGAACAACTGTGAGGAGGGCGCAGGGCGGAGCAGTGTTTGGTTCTGTTTTATATAGGATCTCTATGCGCGGGAGCTGACTGGATGAAACCTAACAAAACCCGCCCCCACCCCCTTCCTGTTCCAGGCCCTGGTCGCCCTGAACACTGGAGTAAGGGGAGCAGCAGCAGGAACCTTACTCACCCCTCTTCTGAAGACCTGAGGCAACTCAAAGGGGCTCCCTCAGAGCCTGCCTCGGCCCCCTCTTTCACAGGAGGCGTGGCAGCTGTGGCTGTGGTAGGGGGACTAGCTAACGGCTAGTTTGGCTAGTTCTGTGGGTGGGGATCTGGGCTCCGGAACGACACCGGAGCTAATGTGCAAAACAGTCGGTTGTAGCTTCTGTACTAATGTAGTAAATGCCAGCTATCAGAGACTGAGGTACTCAATACGTGGAGTGTCACAAACATTTAAGTGTCCGTTGGCTCTGAATCTTGAAGTTCAAGAGAAGCTGACTTGGCGGGTCGGGTAGTACATTGAAGAGGGGACACTAACCATCAAGGCTCCCAAAAGGACAAGGGAGGTGTGAACATGAGGCTTTGTGCCAATTTGGCTGGGCCAGGGTTCTGAGTATTTTGGCAGGAATCCTCTCTGTACGATGTGATCTAACACAACGTAATCAACTCCGTGATGGGATCTAACCATGCGGGCCACTCTGTGAGCACCTCGCCCCTGGGATGGCGTGCAGCCTCCTCCATCAGCTCACAGCCTTGAGGCAACTGGAAGACAGACTCCTTGGGTGTGGCCTGCTCCCTTCTGCTCGGACTCTGTGAGACAACTGGTCACTTCTGCTGGATCGGGGTCCCACATCTGGTTTGCGGACATCCTGCCATCGTGCCTGTCAATCCCAGTCACTATCAGCAGACTGCCCACCGTGACTGATCAGAATTTGCACCATCAGTCTAGGGTCTTCCTGTTTCATCTTCCTGCTCCTGGCTCTGCAGCTTTCCAGCTGTGTGCGGCAGGAGAAACCTCTAGCTTACCACACGACGCGTGGTTTAAACCAGACTGGATTTACCCACAACCGCCTGGGCCACTTCTTGACGTAAATGCATTTCACATACATACACATACAAACATCTTTGGTTTTGCGTCTCTAGAGAACCCAGGCTAATACAAGGGGGATCATTCTCAAGAGGTAAGGGACACAGCAAGAGCCAAAGAGAAACTTGGTTTATTATTCTTACTCTCTTTCTGTACTGGAAACCTCTGGGGATATTTTTTTCACCCTTCTTCTTGCGCTTCCTCTTCTTTTTCATAAATCTAGAAATGTCCACTGATCTCATCTAGTCCGGGTGAGGATGCCAACCCATGATTCCCAATCTCCACATACTATATTTCTAAATTGGGGGCTGTACCATCCATCTCTGGGATTTTTTTTTTACCTGTCTTTGACCCTAGTTCTTCTCTTTAATCATTTTTTTGGGGGCTTATACAACTTTTATCACAATCCATACATACATCAATTGTATAATTGTACATTCATTGCCCTCATCATTCTCAAAACATTTGCTCTCCACATAAGACCCTGGCATCAGGTCCTCATTCTCCCCCTCCCTCCCTGTTCCCCCTCCCTCATGAACCCTTGATAATTTATAAATCATTATTTTGTCATGTCTTACACTGACCCTAGTTCTATCTTGGAGAACTCCAGAAAACAAACTCACTGCCATCAAGTCAATACTGATTCAAGATGATCCCTATGGGCCACGGAGGTTTCGAACTGCCAACGATGTGGATGGCAGCCCAACGTGTAACCACTACACCAGCAGGGAAGGGAACGTGGTTCTGAAAAAGCAACTTCCTATTTCCTTGAAATTCTGCCTTTTCCATCTCTCTAATACGGGGCCTCTGGTAGGGAGGCAATAAAGGTGGTTATTTTTCTCTGAATGGGGTGCACATGTAGGTTGGGGGTATGACAGAAACTAGCGTTGCTGTTAGCTACTAGTGAGCCAGCCCCCAACTCAGGCCGACCTTCTGCACAACAGACGAAAATGTGGTCTGCACCAACTCTGATTAGTTGTAGTTCTACCCATTGAACTCCATAGGGATTTTTCCACTGTCCGACTTCTGACAATGGATCCCCGGGATTTCCTACTCCATCCCAGGCCATACCTTCCTCTGGAGCTGTGCAGCCTCAGAGCAACGTGCAAGCCTGCACTGCAGCACAGGACGCAGCTGCGCCTGACGGGCATTGGCTAGGAATCAAACCCAGGTCTCAGGCACGGAAAGTGAGACCGTTGCCACTCACTGCCTGCAAGCAGATGAGGAAGGGGAAAGTCATGTTAGCAGTGCTCTCTTTGCAGAGGGAGACTGTGGAGGTGGAATCGGGGTGGTGATGATGATCATTTAGGAGATTTTCTAGGGATGGCTCTGGGCCTGGTTATCCTTATTGCCAAGTGAAGAGCCAGTTTTAGGCCTTCTCTATGGAGTGGGCTGCCTTATCTCTAGCTAAGAAGCTGTCTAGGTGACTAAATGCCGCACTCTTGCCAGAACCCTTACCAAGCATGACATGTACTCAGAGGAATCATGCCTCTCCCACATGGCTGTATCTTGGCCTCCTCTGCACTATCCCCACCCTCAACTTAGGCCAAGAATGTTAATGCCTGCTAACACTGCGCGGCAGAGACGCGAAGCCAAGTTTTAGCGCATCTTATCTTTAAGAAGAAGTCTAAGCTGACACATGTTCCCGTTTTTAAAACACGATTCTTGGGAGAGAGAAAGAGGAGGAGATGAAATAGTATTATACTATGTACTTCCCATAAGCTGTATGTAATATTTTCAATGTGTATGAAAAACAAGACAGCTGGGGTATAAGGCGCAGATGTCTAAATCTTACATTTATATGTAACTGGGATCGTGATCTTTGGAGTACAGAATTTTTTACCCGGTGTTACTAAGTGCCACTGAGTTGATTCCGGCCCATAGTGACCCTCTGGGCATAGAACCCAACAATGCCAGCCTGTTCCACTTCACAATCACTCCTATGTTTGAGCCCATGGTCACAGCCT